AGTCTAGTAGGTGTGGGAGTAGGGGTGGAGTTCTTAATAACTTTTAATATGGCTTTTACCTAGTAAGATGTAAGGAAGCGTTGCTTATTAGGCCAAGTGGTGAGGATGTGGTGTTGAATACCAGTAAGATATAATTTCATGGTGTTGAAAGATAGCTTTAGGTGAAGGTGGCAAAAGGAAATGAACGCAGTAAAAGTCTCCATTGAATTATGTGAAATTCCTGCAAAAATCTGTTGTAAATATGAAAAGCTCTAATATGATTTCTTAGTGTTCACAGAGAGACCTAGTTGTGAAAGGTGGTGCCCGTGAGTGAGTAAATTGTCTAGTCTATAACCATGTCCTGCCCCCATGGTGCTGGGGTAGGTCTCCAGGACGCTGTTGGTAGTGCCGCTTGGAACTCCTGAAATCGAGATCGGGATAAATGATCAGCTGCGATGTTCAGGACCCTAGGAATATGTGTGCATGTCAGGAAAAAGCTGTGCTTAGCAGCTTGTCATGTCAGATTCCTCATGAATCGCATAATGGCCAGTGAGGATGAACGTCCCTTATTAACAATATGGCAAGTTGCCATGTTGTCAGAAAAGCATTGTACCGTGTTACCCGACCAGCAAGCTCCCCATTTAACAGCTGCTGCCACGATTGGGTAAAGTTCAAATAAAGCAGAGTGGTCATTGAACTCAGGGATTTCTTTAATCTCCTCCGGCCGGTTACCCCACATCCAGTCGTTGCCAAAAATTGCGGCAAAACCGGAAGTGGCCTCAGCATCCGTCCAGATAGTCTGTCACAAATTGAATAAATAAGCTTTTCCTGTTCCAATTTCGTAAGAATTCCCTCCACATGCGTAAATCAGCGGTGGCATATGAGTCTAGCTTGATGCGGGTGGAATCTGAACGAAATTGGGGAAATAGGCAGAGTAACCAGGATATGAATGCCCGCCCTTGTGGAATGATAAATCTTATCCGGTGGGAGGCTGGTTTGCATATTAACAGAGTCCAGTAGTACCCGCAGAAAATTGATGACAGTATCGGGACCTTCAGTTTTGGTAGGTGAAAAAGGAACACCCAACCTTTAAAATAATTGTAATATAGCCTGAAGGTGATAGGGTGGAAGCAGGTTACTCTCTATGGCAAGAAAATCGTCAAGGTAATGGATTATGGTGGTACAGATGTTAAGCAGATTCCAACATAATGTCTCAGCAAACATATCAAAGATTTTAGGACTGCTCTTTGAACAAAAAAGTGAGTCGCATGAAAAAATAGTAGACTCGCTCATTCCATCGGAGGAATTTTCACTCCATTTAAGCGACCTGTGGACAATGCCATACATGCTATTTTGTCAGCAGGTATCGGTGCATGGCTCAGCAAGACGGACATAGTAAACACATTCAAGCTCCTCCCTATCCACCCCTCCCTGTGGCATCTACATGGTGTTATTTTGTCAGCAGGTATCGGTGCATGGCTCAGCAAGACGGACATAGTAAATGCATTCAAGCTCCTCCCTATCCACCCCTCC